CCCTAGCTTGGCAACCGCGGAGGTGCGTCCCCACTGTCTCAGGGCCGCCGGGGAACTCACGAGCTGAACGTGTTCCCCCGACCCGTCCGCTCTGCTTCGGTGCTGGGGACTGAACCCGGGGCCTCTCACATTCCAGGCAAGCGATCTATCACTCAAATACATGCCCAGGCCTGAACATTTAAATTTTTTTGGTACCGGGGATCGAATTCGGGACCTTGCGCTCGTCAGAACCATTAAGCTAAATCCCTGGTCCCTGAACATATAAATTTTGACCCACGTTATGAATTGAGTAGATTAAAAAAAAGTACGAAGCCTGAAGACGGAGGCAGGATAATTGCAACTGAACCCACCCTAGGCAATTTAGCGACTAACCAGACCCTCGAAATGAAAAAGGACTGGGTGTGTAGCTCAGTGTGAAGGTCCTGGGTTCAGTCCCCAGTACTGTAAAAACAAGCAGACCAAAACCAAACACACAACCGAGCAAGTACATAGACAAAATAAACATCTCCGCCTCAGGCTTACTCCTCTTCCAGCTCTCTTTCCTGAAATGGGTGTATATTCAACACAATCACATATAATATAAATTGACATATATTTAACATTCCTTTGCCCCTATCTTGTTCAGCAGTGTTACTCATCTACGTGTAGGCATACAAAAAATGATGTGCGTTTTTGGAGAGGGCACAACCCGGGGGGAGAGAACAGGTATTAGAAGGCACTGTTCAAAATCCAGTCATTTCTTCTTTTTTAAAAAAATTTATTTATTGATTGATTTTGTACCGGGGATCGAACTCGGGATCTTGTGTTTGTGAGGCAGGCACCAAAACCACTGAGCTAAATCCCCAGCCCTTTTTTAAAAAATTTTTATTTTTTAAATCCAATCATTTCTAAAAGAAAAAAAAAATTCAACCGTGTCCTATATTCCAGTACTGTTGCGGACATCAGGAAATGTTACTATCTCATCTTCACAACGAATAATTTCCTAAATAATTTCCTCAACGCTGGGAAGGAAACTCAGGTGTGGCTAATCACCCCTCACCATCACTCTGGATGGCGGTGGGAAGAGGGAGCCGTGCTTGTAGCCCGGTCCTGTCCTGAGTGCTTTGCAGAGTGTCCTCTGTGTTGCCATTCTCATCCTTTAGGTGAGGAAACTGAGGCACAGGGGAGTCAAGAACGTACCCAAGCCCACATAATTAAGAAATGATAGAGCTGAACTCATGTCCAGATAGTCTGCCCCAGTGGCAAAGTTCAGCTTTGACGATGGAGGAAAGAGGTGCAGGAAGAGTCCCTAAGTTTAAAGACCCCAGTGATGAGCAGGATGGAAAGAAAGGAAGAGAACCAGGACTTGATAGGCAGGGGGAAGGATGACTTTGGGGAAGCCTGAGGTGCTTGAGGTAGGTCCATGTGCTGTCCAGCAGGCAGTAAGAAATGCAAGCCTGAAGCCCAGCCGAAAAGACAGGCCACAACGGGTATTTCCCAAACTTCTCTGATCACAGAGTATTTTTTTCAACAGACAATGCTACAAAATATTGTAAACTCTAGTAGTACATTGGTTTCACAAAGCAGACATGAACAAGAATTTGTGACAGGGTTCTTTTAAAATCAGAATTAGATGGGTGTGGTGGCACACGACAGTGGTCCCAGCACTCAGAAGGCTGAGGCAGGACAATTGTCACAAGTTGGAGGGTAGCCTGAACTACATAGTGAGATCCTGTCTCAAAAAACAAAAACAAAAGTTCCTCCCTTCCTCCTCGTAAGCAGCAGAGACACAATCCACTCTTCTGTTTAAGATGTGCTGGCAAATAGAATGCAGAAGATCATCAAGAAGATCATACACCCTGACCAAATGGGATTCATCCCAGGGATGTAGGGATTGTTTAACACATGCAAATCAATCAGTATAATACACTATATCAATAGAGCCAAGGACAAAAACCATATGATTATCTCCAAAGATGCAGAAAAAGCATTTGATAAAATCCAACACACATTTATGATAAAAACCCTACAAAAAATTGGAATAGATGGTCTCTACCTCAATCTGATAAAAGCCATCTATGAAAAACCAAAAG